TGGAGGTGGAATTGGTGGCTCTTTTATATGCCATTTTATAACCCATTTAATAGGTGTACGAAATAAAGCCCTTTGTTATGAGGATTAAAACTGCAGGTGCCATGCAGCTGTGTTCACTGAAACTGTGTTCATATAAAGGAGACCCCAGATTAAAGAGAGCATTAGTGATGCTAGAGCAAAGGATGAAGAGAGTAGGTATGAAGAGAAGTCTGCAAATACACCTGGCCCAAGGGAAATATGACCCAATTCAAAATGAAAGCAAAGTGTGCTCAGGTGTCAAGTGAAAGAACAGATCAACACTACACAATTGTAGCAGGTGGGTACCACTTCTATTGCCATGCCTATATCTTCCAGAATCTAGGCATTTGTAGTTTAGGGAGATATGTAGAGTTCTCTGCTAGGAAGATCTAATGTTGTCATCCAGAGGAAGATATTAGAGCTCCCTAGCAAAGATATATAAGTACTTTCCTAAATTGCTAATCCTAAGATTCCATAGGATGTTGTAGCAGTTAAAGTGGTATCAAACTACTATAAATGTCTACTATAGCAACACTTTGGGGCAAAAAAAATTGCTGCTGGGCTAATTTAAGAGGACTGGAAGCTGTGTTGCCAGATACACTCTTGCAAAAATGGACTTGTGACAAAATCTGTGAGATGTAAGGTTCCCAGATCTCAGGGCCTGCCATGTCTTCCTCTTCTGCACAACGGTGAGAAGAGGAATGTCTGGGCAAAAGTGTAAAAAAAAGTGTGTTACTGGTCTTTGTTGTTGCAAATGCTTTGGAGTGGTTGCTATTGATTATCCATAGACCTCATTTTCTCTCCTCTCTCCAGTTTTTAATTTTTAGACTTGATGACAGGAGGAGACAGGATAGCCATGTATAAATATCCAAGGGGAAGTCATAGAGAGGAGGGAGCAAGCTTGTTTTCTGCTGCCCTGGAGACTAGGATGCAGAACAATGGCTTCAAACTACAGGAAAGGAGATTCCACCTGAACATTAGAAAGAACTTCCTGGCTGTGAGAACGATTCAGCAGTGGAACTTTCTGTCCCAGGGGCTCTTTCTTGGAGGCTTTTAAACAGAGGCTGGATGGACATCTGTCAGGGGTGCTTTGAATGTGATTTTCCTGCTTTTTCACGGGGTTGGACTGGATGGTCCATGAGATCTCTTCCAACTCTTTCCTTCTAAGATTCTACCTGAGTTATATGCTCTGAGCAACTGTCCTACCTGTTAATTATATCATGCCCCATTTTCGGGCCCCAACTCCTGTGAAATTGCGAAGTGCTGTCCCTAGTTCTGAGGTATTGGGCATGAAATCTCATGTCCTATCTCAATGACACTACAGGCAGTCACCTACAAAATAAGTTGTGTAGGTTTCTTCTTCTGAATTTGTATGTATGTCTAAACAGGTACATTTTAAGTGTCAAAATATATAGCATATGGAAGGGTTCACACTTCTGTGGTGTTTTGTTTGTTTGTTTGTTTGTTTGTTTTTGCTATCTATGCCCCTATTCAGATGATATCCTCTCACTTTCTGTCTGTGTAACAATGGGGTTTTGGAAAAATTGGCTTATTGTGGAAACAAGGATTGGTGATAAAGCTTCAGTTGAGACACCTTTTCCCCATTATAGCTCTTCCAGGAGTGCTTTTCCTGCAGGCAGAAGGTTGGTCTAGATCAGTCTTTCCCAACCTTTTCTTGACTAGGGACCACTTTGACCAGGAACTATTCTCCAAAAGGGTTATGATCCAGTTTTTCCTCAACTTTTGATTCGGTTTGGTTATTTGGGGTGCTGATTCAGAAAATTGCATTGGATAGACCACACCAGCTCTGGTTTCAGATACAGAACATATGCCACCCAATAGACGCCTTCTGCTCGCCTACAGAAAATGATATTTAATAAGCCTCAGCTTGTTCATTCGTTCAGTCGTCTCCGACTCTTCGTGACATCATGGACCAGCCCACGCCAGAGCTCCCTGTCGGCCGTTACCACCCCCAGCTCCCTCAAGGTCAGTCCAGTCACTTCAAGGATGCCATCCATCCATCTTGCCCTTGGTCGGCCCCTCTTCCTTTTGCCTTCCACTTTCCCCAGCATAATTGTCTTCTCTAGGCTTTCCCCTCTCCTCATGATGTGGCCAAAGTACTTCAACTTTGTCTCTAGTATCCTTCCCTCCATGAGCAGTCGGGCTTTATTTCCTGGAGGATGGACTGGTTGGATCTTCTCGCAGTCCAAGGCACTCTCAGAACTTTCCTCCAACACCACAGTTCAAAAGCATCGATCTTCCTTCGCTCAGCCTTCCCTAAGGTCCAGCTCTCACATCCGTAGGTGACTACAGGGAATACCATGGCTTTGACTAGGCGGATCTTTGTTGCCAGTCTGATGTCTCTACTCTTCACTATTTTATCGAGACTGGACATTGCTCTCCTCCCAAGAAGTAAGCGTCTTCTGATTTTCTGGCTACAGTCTGCATCTGCAGTAATCTTTGCACCTAGAAATACAAAGTCTGTCACGGCCTCCACGGTTTCTCCTTCTATTTTCCAGTTGTCAATCATTCTTGTTGCCATAATCTTGGTTTTTTTGACGTTTAGCTGCAACCCGGCTTTTGCGCTTTCTTCTTTCACCTTGATTAGAAGGCTCCTCAGCTCCTCCTCGCTTTCGGCCATCAGGGTGGTGTCATCTGCATTAGCACTATAAGAGAATTTTGTGAGACCAGTTGCTATCGTTACAACGGAGTAGTAACGGTGAGGTCGCGGACCATATTGTTGTTCTTGCAGACCACTGGTGATCCATGGACCATAAGTTGGGAACCACTGGCCTACATGGCCCATGCAGTCTATTCCAACTCTTATGATTCTATGAGTACATTTCCCTTTCTGGGTTAGATTTCTCTCACTTCCTGTTGTCTCACCCCCATTCTTAACTACAAGTCTTTTTTAAGTCATATGTTTTAACTTAGGGACTGCCTATATACGAGTTGGTTCTTTTTCACCTGTTACTGTGTACAAACATGCCAGTTGAATTTTGTAGGACAAAGATGACATCTTGATGGCTTCAAATTATTGCATGCTGAGGAAAACAGTTGAAATTATATCACAATGGGAGAGTTGCTGGGAGTAGTTAGGATATAACTTTAGTGAGGGTTGCAGACATTTGTAGTGTCCCTTCCATTGCCCCAGCGATACATATAATCCGATGTCTTCAAAGATGGCAAAAGTTAAACTTTCCCATGGTTCTGTTTCTCTGCTAGGTGATGATTCAGAATGAATGTAGAGCCAAAAGTGGTTTTCTCCCTGCCTCCCTCTTCCTGGAAGCAAGAAAATCTTATTCCAGCGAGGTTTCGGGGCTGATACAGACAAATTTGAACTGGATATGCAGGAAACAGGCCCGGCTCCAAACCACCAACCAGATAACTAAGGTCTTGTTCCAGAACTTCAGTCCAGCACAGGAAATAAGACAGCAGGAGAAGGAGAACTTAACACAAGATAGAAAGGCAGATCTGACATTTCAAGAGTCCCCTTAAAGCTTTCTCTCAGAAGTTGACAGGAGAGAAAGTTCTCTCTGTTCTTGCGCCCCTCCCAACGCTGCCTCCCTAATGTTTTATCTCTGGAATGGTAGCACAAGGCAAAGATAAAACTGGTGGTTAATGGCCAGATGATACATAAGGATGGTAGACTTTCAGAGCAGTTAACATCTTTCTGTGTTGCTGGGCAAGCATGGCCTGAAGAAAAATATTGTGCAAGGAGATATTAGAAATCTCCTTACGCAATATCTGAAGAAGTCCTTACACATAATTTCCAGTTACACTGATGTAAGTCCCACAAGAGAATTTCATCCTGAGGATCCCATCCAGCTGGAAGCTTTGTGCTTAAAAAATTAGAGAGAGGTTCAAGGAGAAAGCATCAGTGGTGTACTTTCTCCACATTGTATAGAGAAAGGGAGGAAGAAGTAATTGTGGACTGAGCTGTAATGTGGAAGTAGTATTAGCAAAGCCTAATGTCTAATTCATTTAGGAAGGTCGGTACTCTGATCTTCCGTTGATGACAAAGCTGTCTGCAAAAGTAATAAGCTACTCATGATACCTCTTTCTCTCCACTAGTCATTAAATTGGTGGCTAAGCTATCTAGTACCTATCTATTTTTATGTTATTATATGTTATTAGTATGCAAGGGCTACTATATGATGGAGAGACCCTTCACGAGTCTTTTCAAAATAGCAATAAGGGGCTGTCACATGCAGGATTGGCAATTACAAAGGAACTGTTGATGTGTTTGTGTCTCAAGAAATAGCACCAATTCCAATTAGCTTGTATTTCTCTGTTAAGATTAACACATTGTCCACATTCCTGAATTATATGATGTCACATTTCTATCTTTATAAAGGGTTCAGAATTGAAAATATTGGATGGGGGAGCTTTCCAAGTGTCATATAGGGGACATCCTTAATAATGAAAGAAACCTGGGAACTCTGCCCTTCACCTAAAGCTGCTATAGACTCAGGGCAAAGTGAAATACATAATAGATACAAGAGATACAACACATGATGGGCACAAGAGTGACGTTGTGATTGTTGGCAAGCATACAGATGTACTCTTCTAGTTTTATTTACAAGGTTCATCATAGAGACTTGTATGTTTGTTTTATAACAAACTCTGTCTAAACAGGGCTCTAGTTTAGCTTTTTTCATGTCAGGAACAACTTGAGAAACTGCAAGTCGCTTCTGGTGTGAGAGAATTGGCCATTTGCAAGGATGTTGCCCAGGGGACGCCCAGATGTTTTACCATCCTATGAGAGGCTTCATTCCTGTCCCTGCATGGGAAGCTGGCGCTGACAGAGGGGAGCTCACCCTGCTCCCCAGATTTGAACCACTGACCCTTTGGTCAGCAGTCCTGCTGGCACAAGAGTTTAACCGGTGAGAAGGACAGGATATAAATGCAGTAAATTAATATTAATATTATTAATAAAATGAGTCTCATTTGTGATTCTGGTTTCATTGTTTTCTTTTTAGATGAACTGACTTACTGCCCCAAAGGTGTGACTTCCAATCTGTTCCGCTTCAATGTGTCCTCGGCAGAAAAGAACAGCACCAACCTCTTCCGAGCTGAATTTCGGGTTTTGCGAATACCGAACCCCAATGCCAAACGCACAGAGCAGCGTATTGAACTTTTTCAGGTGAGCAGGTTTCCTTTCTTGGAACACTTTCACACCAACCAGTTATTGCACTATGATTCCACATCATCATGGCGGAATCCTAGGGAATCCTGGGGATTGTAGTTTGGTGAGGCACTAGATTTCCCTGGCTGAGAGTTCAATATAAAAGGTAAAGGCTTCCCCTGACATTAAGTCTAGTCGTGTCCAACTATGGGGGATGGTGCTCATCCCAATTTCTAAGAGCTGGCATTGTCCAAACACACCTCCAAGGTCATGTGACCAGCATGCTGTTACCTTCCTGCAGAAACGGTACCTATTGATCTACTTACATTTGCATTTTTTCAAACTGCTAGGTTGGCAGAAGCTGGGGCTAACAGCGGGAGCTCACCCCGTTTCCCGGATTCGAAATGCCAACCTTTCAAAATATCTTCTCCTAACCTGCAAGTACCAAAATTCCTTAGGATACAGCCATTGCTATTAAAATGGAACCATAATACTATCATTGTGTAATATGAAAGGGCTGCAAGTGTGTCGGGTGAGAGGTGTTTGCTCTGGATCCAAGTTCTCTCATGCAATTTGCTAAGTGTGGTTCTTGCCTCTTCCACCCACTCCGTAGCATAAATGCTAAACTTCAATTCCTGATCTTTAATTACTAAACTTATCTTTGTTTTCTCAGCATGTGTTCTGGTGTAGGTTGTATCGCCAGATGAGTTAAGCAGCTGGCTGCAGTATTAAAGAGCTGCCTAAATAAACCTTTTCCTTCCCACTTGCTGTCAGCATTTTAAATAAAGGTTGTGCTGTGTGTGGCGTGCCTTCCAGAGCTAGTCCAAGACGTTTAGGCTCCTTTGGTGTTTTTCAAATTCACCCCAGGCAATGCATTCTTGTTCTTTAGAGAGCTCAATACCTGCTACTTGAGGCAACCACATCACTCTTTTTAATATTAGGGTTGTCTCTGGTGCCTTTAATAACCATTCTATAAATTATAATAAGCAGTTCTTCTCATGTATTACATCAGTGATCTTTACCACCCATGTGTGAGATTAACTGGTATTTTGCTCTTCTGGTCACAGTGGAAGAAGGGGAAGCGCGAGAAAAGGATTTGGGAGCAGAAAATAACAACAAAGGAGGGGCCTTAATGTTGATCCAAAATGCAAGTTTAATATTGGACTAAGATTCTGGAGAACAGAGTAGAAATTCCATGTTAACTACCATGGCTGGGCAAAAGTATGATAGCTGGAACCCAATGCTAGTTGTGTAACACGGGTCAGAATTACACTTGCGCATTGAGTGAGAGATGCTGGTGCGTGCTATAAACGTAACTATTGCTAACTGCCATTTTTTTACCATCCTTCACTATCACTTCATATGGATGAATCTTGCTATAAACTTAGGGTTGCATGGCTGCCATGGTTAAATGGAGATGGTATATCACACCAGTTAAATTACATCAGATGGATAAGAAACAAAGTAACTATTGCTGGAGATGTGGTATGTGGAAAGGGATATATTTTCATTTATGGTGGGAATTCCCCCTGCTGAATAGTTTCTGGAACAATATGTTTAAAGAATTAGGGAACATTATAGGACTAAACATTACCCCGGATGCTAGGATAGCATTACTAATGGATGCCATAAAGTTGAACTTAGAAAGGGGTGGGGGAAGAGGTGGTTATTTTACTCACGGTGGCAAGACTATTGTAATTGCAAGGAATGGGAAGATAGTAACCAATCTTGCTCTGGAAGCATGGTATGGGAAGGTATGAGAAACTATCAATGGAAATGAGGGTGTTCAGGAAGGAAATTAAAAGAACATAATTTGATTCATATTGGTTGGTCTTCATTAAATATAGAGAGTGATAAGGGAAAACAACACAACTTTGTTGGTCAGGAATTTTGAATTTTCCAACATATAAGACGACTGGGCGTATAAGACAACCCCCAACTTTTCCAGTTAAAATATAGTTTGTGATATATTCGCCGTATAAGACTACCCCTCTTCCAATGCACACCAAATAAATTTTTTAAAAAACATCAGATTTGATTTCAAAATGGTAATTTTCCTATTACTGTACCTCCTTCTCTGCCGCTCAGATCTCACACATGCACACCTGTGCTGCTTCACTACAGTCTTCAGGAGCAAGATCTGAGAGGCAGAGAAGGAGGTATGGTAAAAGGATATAAGGGTGGGTCAGATGGGTAAAAAAGGCTTGGTTTTCTGGGTATAGCACTGCTCTATCTCTTTCTTCCATACCCTGGGTGTCCCGGAAGCCTGAAGCTTGCTTCACCCTTCACTTACATCTTCCCGGTGAGGCACCCCCTCACCTCATCATTAAGTCGCTTATTTCCACAAATCCTGGTGTTGCAGTAGTATCACTACTCGAAGACTCGATCACAACACCTGGTGAATGGATTCTTCTACCATACTTGTACAGTGTCACCCTTGCTGCTTTCATACAGTCGTCACATATGGTGGGGATGCGGCTGCGGCCTTTTTAAAGCTTCCCCCACCATATGCAGCGACCGCAGATTCTCCAGTCCCGCTCGGACATTTCAGCACCCGCACTATAAGATGACCCCCGAAGTATAAGATGACCCCCGACTTTTGAGAAGATTTTCCTGGGTTAAAAAGTAGTCTTATACACCAGAAAATAACACATACACACACACAACCATGGCTGCACCCTGTGGAATCCTGGGATTTCAAATTTGGTGAGTTAACAATGATGCAAGTGGGAATTCTACCAGTATAGATAACCAGAATAGTTCCAGTCTTTATGCTATACCTTTTTCTGAAAATGGTTTCATGAAAATAGAATATCTTGACCACCGCAACATAAGCTTTGAACTATTAATAATAGAGCGAAAGCCATTTGAAAATCTTGCCCAGTTGGGTTTCCTGTTCGTAAGCCAGCTGCTGACAGAGAGCTGCAAAGGGTTAAACAATTCTGTGCCCTAGCAAGCATAACTTTTGAAGTATTTATGGTGGCATGCTGGAAGTTGGTGGCACACGACCAGCTGGCCACGGTCAGGAGAACCAGCGTGCGAGGAATTTTCAAGCAGGTACAATGTGCCCAGCTGTTGCACAGATCAGCCTTTAGCCTGTAGCCACATTCCTGGTCACATTTCACCACAATTGTGTCATGCTCTATCTCTGTGTGTGTCTGTCTGTCTTTCCTTAAATATTCAATTCTTCCTCTTGGAAGTGTGAGTTAAAATGGCCCAGTTACAAGGATTTTAAACAAGTTATTTTAATATATTTGTGTATAATTAGTAACTAGCGAAACTGGTGACCCTTCAGATGGTATTTACTGCAAGTGCATAGGAGTGGGTAGAGGACACCTTGCAGGCCATATCTAAGCTCCTTCCAAACCACTTCTAGTTTTGAAAAAGCTTGCCTATGTGTAAAACAGACTCCTGAAGGCTCAAAAATGGACATTTACTGGTAGTTAATGGTTCAACTTCCTGAGATACATTGCTCCTCTCTCTCAGGATATGCATCTTTCACTTCTGAAAATGAAAGTATACCGGGTTTGAACCAATAGTTCTTTGACACCTTCAGGGAGCTCTGGAATATAACTGGCCAATTCGAGGCCCCCAAAAGAAGGAGGGCAAGGAGTGAAAATGGCAGGTGTGAAGCACATGCAGCCCCAGAGACCCCAAAGAATTGCCCTCATCACTTAGTAGTTGCTTACTCCAATGAGATATCCACATGACAAGCTCAGAATGGAAGAGGGCCAATTTCAGTTTATAGAGCTTCCTCTGTGGAGGTTCTCCATGTGATTAAGAAGTATGAATTGCCAGAGTTATAACTTGTGTGGAGAGTGGGTTGTTGTAGGTTTTTTGGGCTATATGGCCATGTTCTAGAAGCATTCTCTCCTGACGTTTTGCCTGCACCTGTGGCAGGCATCCCCAGAGGATGTGAGGTCTGTTGGAAACGTCAGGAGAGAATACTTCCAACAACAACCCAGTGATTTAGGCCATGAAAGTCTTCGACAGTATATTGTGTGGAGAGTCTCTGATGATTCAGGAAATTATGTGCTCAAGATAACCATTTTTTACAAATGTATATGGCAGGGAGGGCACAACAGAGGTGGTATTATTCTTCCTGTTGTCCTCCTTGAGTTTGTTGTTCATTCGTTCAGTCGTCTCCGACTTCGTGACCTCATGGACCAGTCCACGCCAGAGCTCCCTGTCAGCCGTCCTCCTTGAGTGCATCCCCTAAATCAGTGGTTCCCAACCTGTGGTCCGTGGACCACCAGTGGTTCGCAAGAACTAAAATATGGTCTGGAGCCTCACCATTACTATACTGTTGCAACAAGAGTGACTGGTCTCGCAAAACCCTCTTATAGTGCCAAGGCTTATTAATATGGTTTCTGTAAATGAGCAGATGGTGACTACTGAATGGCATATGTTCTGTATCAGAAACTATATCTGATGTGGTCTATTCAATGCAATTTTCTGAATTAGTATCCCAAATAACCAAACCAAATCTAAAATTGACCAAAGACTGATTTGTAACTCTTTTGGTACTAATGTTGGAGAGTGGTCCCTGGTCAAAGTGGTCCCTGGTCAAGTGGTCCTTGGTCAAAAAAAGGTTGGGAACCACTACCCTAAATACAGCAATAGTAACAGAAGAGGACTAAAGACTGCCCAAATTTGTTTATACAGTACCTGAAATTGGCCTAGCTTGGGATAGGGATAGGAGAGTCTGCCATGTCATTCATATTTCCACTTTTCAGTTTTCATTCAATTTCAGTTTTTTATCAGATTGCAAATTATTCATTGGAAAATGCTATGCAAAATTTGAGTATATATTGACTCACATTTTCCAGAGTGCTCACGTGTATTTTCATGTATTTTATAAATGTACACACTTCTGGGTGCTTTTTCAAAACCAAACATTTTCAATTAAATTTCCCCATGAAATAGTATGTATGTATGTATGTGTGTGTGTGTGTGTGTGTGTGTGTGTGTGTGTGTGTGTGTATATATATATATATATATATATATAATATATATATATAATATATATATATATATATATTCTGCTGTAATTGAACTGTGTAAAATTGCAATACTTTTTATGCAACCTTTATAGTAGGCTTCAGTAAAATATGAATTCTGAGGTCTAGTTGGGTTCTGGTTTCCATTAATTCAATAAAAGTAAAATGAACACTTTTCCACTTGCCACTCATCAGGCAGAACAGAGTTGCCCACAGTTCTGAACTAACCTGTGACTTGGACATCTTTTCCTTATGCAGATCCTGAAGCCTGATGAGTACATTGCAAAACAGCGCTACCTCAGTGGCCGGAACGTGATGACGAGGGGCTCCCCAGAGTGGCTCTCCTTTGATGTCACAGAGACTGTGCGTGAATGGCTGTTGCACAGAGGTGGGTGGCATAAGTAGCAGCCTGAATGGTGCTTTGTGTCCAGATCTTTCGTTATATAAATAACTGATAATAATATTTGTGTGTGTGTCGGGAGTGACTTGAGAAATTGCAAGTTGCTTCTGGTGTGAGAGAATTGGAATGTGTCCAGAAGAGGGCGACTAAAATGATCAAGGGTCTGGAGAACAAGCCCTGTGAGTAGCGGCTTAAGGAGCTGGGCATGTTTAGCCTGAAGAAGAGAAGGCTGAGAGGAGATATGATAGCCATGTATAAATATGTGAGAGGAAGCCACAGGGAGTAGGGAGCAAGCTTGTTTTCTGCTTCCCTGGAGACTAGGACGCGGAACAATGGCTTCAAACTACAAGAAAGGAGATTCCATCTGAACATGGGGAAGAACTTCCTGACTGTGAGAGCCGTTCAGCAGTGGAACTTTCTGCCCTGGAGTGTGGTGGAGGCTCCTTCTTTGGAAGCTTTTAAACAGAGGCTGGATGGCCATCCAATATTCCTGCTTCTTGGCAGGGGGTTGGACTGGATGGCCCATGAGGTCTCTTCCAACTCTTTGATTGTATGATTCTATAAGGGGCTGATGGGAGTTGTAGTCCAGCAGCATTTGGAGGGTATACATTACTCTTCTATTGTATTATGAGTACTCTTATGACTGCATCATATATAAAACAGATGCCTGTATATCCTTTTTACCTACCACTGATTTCTTCTTGTTACGTGTGGAGGCAAACATCTCTAAATAGTCTGTGAACTGGGTCTTTGTAGATTTTTCAGGCTCTATGGTCATGTTCTAGAAGCATTCTCTCCTGACGTTTCACCTGCATCTATGGCAGGCATCCTCAGCGGGCGTTAGGTGCCTGCATCTCTATATGACTGTGAAACTGTCATATAGGGATATAAAGAAAAAGTGCAGACACAGTGCAGATGCCCTCCTACACACTACAAAAAGACCAAAGAGAGAGCTTTTAAGGATCGTACAAGTATTGTACCTGTTGAGGTTGGTCTACTCAACTTTGGAGGCTGCTCTCACTTTTCTGTTGTGATTTCATTGACTAAAACTCAGCTGCTGGTGCACTTTCCCTACCAAGTCAATTCAATGCAAAGGTAGGAAATGTTACTACTTTGGAGCCCTGGTCTCGTTTCACAGTTGCTGGGGTTCGTAGCTGGACAGTCCTTACAACTAAGATGGGTTGAGCATCTTTTATCTGAAATTTTGGAATCTGAAAATCATTGTGCAGAATATTGTCCACATAACTAACTAAGATAGTGACACCTTTAATTTCTGATAGTTCCGTGTACACAAATTGTGTTGTATAAAATTACCTTCAGGCTGTTTATAAGGTGCATATGAAACCAATGAAATTCATGTTTCGACTTGGAGTCCATCTCCAAGATATCTCCCTATGTTTGCATATGCATAGACAGCTATTCAAAATTTGGGGAAAAAATCCAAAACATTGCTGATTCTAGGCTTTTCAGATTAGATACTCATCCTGTAGGTAGTATCTGAGTGCAAGTCAGATTTGGAATTTTAGAAAGGACTTCTAGATTAATTTCACACTCCCTATTTCTAAAGTCAAGGTATGGGCTGAAGACCAATCCCTCTACTGTAGGGCAAAGCTATTAGTTTCATGCTAAAGTTTAGTAAAAAATTGGACTACAACTCCCAGATTTCCCATGCAAGATGATCATAGGCTGTTCTGTCTGGGAGAATTGTGGGAGCCATAGTCCAAGAAAGCAAACGTGTCAAGCTCTACTCTTTTTTTTTGTCGTGTCAGGAGCGACTTGAGAAACTGCAAGTCGCTTCTGGTGTGAGAGAATTGGCCGCCTGCAAGGACGTTGCCCAGGGGACGCAGGGATGTTTTGACGTTTTTATCATCCTTGTGGGAGGCTCCTCTCATGTCCCCGCTTGAGGAACTGGAGCTGATAGAGGGAGCTCATCCATGCTGTCCCCGGATTCGAACCTGTGACCAGGTCTTCAGTCCTGCCAGCACAGGGGTTTAACCCACTACGCCACTGGGGGCTCCTAAGCTCTACTAATACCATGCATTGGAAAAGGACACCACACATAGCCAGCTTTTGATGTAGCTGATGGTTAGAGATATAAACAACAGGCTTACCCAGAGTCTCATGGCTTGTGTAGTATAATAGCAGCTGCTGTAGATCTTGGAAGTGGCTGAAGAATAACAGAAGAAAATGCTCATGGCTGTAAAGTTCAAGCTGTGCAATTCAGCAGCTGCCACCAGCTGGAAAGATTAAACAGGTGCTGAGATTCTATGGCCATTCCTATCTTGAGCCTGAGGGACTTCAGATCTTTCTTCTGGCCTGCAGCTAGTCATGTGCACAATATGTGTTGGTTTTTATCCTTCTGGTATAGAAAACATAGAAACCTTCCAGATACCAATGGGAACATTTCTCTATTTAATGCAGTATAGTCAACTCTGGCAGCAAGAACTCTTTAATTAGGAGACTCCCTAATATTCCCAGGTGTTCTTCCATCCAAGTAATAACCAGGCCTGAAGCTGTTTAGCTTTTGAAAATCCAGACCAGATGTGTTCAAAGCAAGACCTTGAAGTCCCCGTCAAGCATTTTCATGTACTGTGACATGGAAATTCAGTGTCCAAACTGTGTGAGAGAGACTCTTAGACAGCCTGTTGTTTATATTTCTGTTGTTTATATCTCTTATATCTCTATATCGACCTTGTCGATGTTGTAATCCCAGGTGACAGCAGGATTGAAGAGAAACAATTGGAAAAGCTGACACAATATGAGGATTTAAAGATCAAACTGCAAAGACTCTGGCACAAGCCAGTAAAGGTGGTCCCAGTGGTGATTGGCACACTGGGTGTAGTACCTAAAGACCTTGGCCTGCACTTAAACACAATTGGCACTGACAAAATTACCATCTGTCAGCTGCAAAAGGCCACCCTACTGGGATCTGCATTATTTATTTATTTATTTAAAACATTTATATTCCACCCTTCTCACCCCAAGGGGGACTCAGGGTGGAGCACAGCATATATATGGCAAACATTCAATGCCAGGACAAGAATTCATTATATGCATTATTCGCCGATACATCACACAGTCCTAGACACTTGGGAAGTGTCTGACATGTGATCCAATACAACAGCCAGCATAGTGATCTTGTCTGCTGTGTACTAATCTTGTTATGTTTCAAATAATGATGATGATGATGATGTTTCTCAAATCACTCCTGACACCAAAAAAAAAGGGAGGAAATGTTGACGGAGGACTATTTGGATAGAAATGTTATTCACTTCATTTGTTCACATGAATCCTCTCTCTCTGTCTCTGTCTCTCTCTCCTGCAACAGAATCAAATCTGGGCCTGGAGATCAGCATTCATTGCCCATGCAACACCTTCCAGTCCAATGGTGTCATTCTGGAGAACTTGAATGAAGTGCTGGAGATTAGATTCAAAGGTGATAAAGAAGAGATTGCATGCAATATGGCCAGTGTAATTTTTCTACCCTCTATGCCAAAAAGTGTTCCAGCAAATAATTTTTATGTAATTTATTCATGACGACATTCATCTCTGTTTGCATGTGGGCACATACTGTATTCTGGTATTTTTCAGAACAGAGAAGCAGTGGATTTGACTGCTCTAGTGCTTTATGCAGAGCAGGGCATCTTAGAATAATAGAATCCTAGAGTTCAAAGAGACCTCATGGGCCATCCAGTCCAACCCCATCCATCAACTGTGTTATTGTTACTCAGAGTAAAAAGTAATGCCTTATTCCTGGAAAAATAGTGACCAACAACTAATAATGTTGTTTTTTGAGTCAGTATTCCATTGTAAATCTATGATGCAGATGTCATCTCTGTGTATTACACAAAGAAATGTGAATATGTTGAAATTTCTGAACTTAATACAAATCAAGCCTCCTCTGGAAAATGTAAAGCTTATGTTTTGCTGGTATTACTCTGGTTTCCAGCTTGTGTGATGTGGCCACAGAGAAACTGTGCAATGTACCCAAGGTGCACGGCCAGCCAACAACTTGGCTGGGGCAACATTTGCAGCTGCCTTGCTCTTGGCCCTGAGCTGTGGCCATTAGTACCCACAAGCTCTGTATCTTAGATACTCCTTCTGCTGAGCCATTCCAGAAACCTGACATCATCTCTAGCCATTCATCCTTTTCATCCATTGAAACCTCTAACAGTGCCAGATTAATAGTCCCACACTAGTTTACAAATGATAAAGCAAGTGACCCACAAAATGTCATTTCAGGCCAAGAGCAACCAAGTCTATGCTAGCAAGGCTGCTAGAAAGGAGCATGACAATAGCTAAGCTTGTGGAAGCCTTCCCAAGCTGCTCTCGCAAAGCATCTTTTATGAATTTCCTCTCATTTTCTACTGAAGCAACTACATCTTTTCATGACTGCCCTTTCCCTTCTTCTTTAGGCATCGACAGCGAGGAAAGCCATGGGCGAGGAGATCTGGGGAGTCTGAAGAAGCAGAAGAGCCTTCACAACCCACACTTGATCTTGATGATGCTGCCCCCACACAGGCTTGGAAGCCCAGCCTCAAGAAGCCAGAGGAAGAAACGGGCCCTAGACACCAATTACTGCTTTCGGTAAATGAAGATCTCCATTCACATTATATCAGATCTAGGTAACCGTTTGGATGGCTAGTGGCGGGGCAGCAGGGGGATAGGAAGGGAGCTGTGTTGCCTCCCTGCTATATAATTATTTTACTTCTAAAAAACTTGTTTGACACCCTAAAGAGTGAGTCAAGGAAAGACTTTTCTAAAACCAGGAAGCAAACCAGAGGTTGGCTTGAAAATAGGCAATATAATCTACTATAGGGAAGGGCAACTGTTGGGGTTATGTGGCTGCACTGCCCTCGTGTGGACTGGGGCGTGCTGCATCCCACCACCACCTCCTCCATCATTCATACCTGTTTGTCTCCACAAGTTCCAAACATACTCTAAAGCAGAGCTTTCTAAATATTTCATGTTGGTGACACACCGTTTTTATGCATCACCTCATGGCACAGTATTTTAGTTTTACTAGCAAATAAGAGATTAAACCAACCTCTTATAAGAGATATGAACGTAAATTGTAATTTTAAAAAGTATGTGGATGCAACATTTCTCATGAAAATCTTTCATTTCAATATTCTTAAATATATGATTTATTGTTTATTTTATATATTTAAAGGTTTCTCATTATGTTTGGGTGACACACCAACACACTGCAGCCGACACATTAACGTGTCACGGCACACAGTTTGAAATGTTGTGCTCTAAAGGATTTGGAGGGGCAACAATACCATCTGGAGTTTTGGAGTTCAATGTCATCTGTATACAGATGACGTGCAACTCTATCACTCCTTTCCACCTGCTACTAAGGAGGCTGTTCATGTCCTGAATCGGTGCTTGGCAGGTTGACAAACACTGGTTTAGAGGCTTCAAGTAGTCCAACGGATGGCAGCCAGGTTTCTTACTGGAGTGACGTACAGGGAGCATACAACTTCCATTTTATGTTAGCTCCAATGGCTGTCAGTCTGCTATCGAGCACAAGTCAAAGTGCTGGCTTTAGCCCATAAAGCCCTAAACAGTTCCGGCCCAGTTTACCTGTCGGAATGTAACTCCCTCTATGAGTCATCACAGAGGTTAAGATCTTCTGGGGAGGCCCTGCTCTCGATCCCACCATCCTCGCAGATGCTGTTGGTGGGAAACGAGAGACAAGGCCTTCTCAGTTGTGGCCCATCAACTATGGAACTCTCTCCCCAGTGAAATAAGATCAGCCCCCTCTCTCCTGAAATTCAGGAAAAAGCTAAAAACTTGGATATGGGACCTAGCGTATGGTTAGTAATCTTCCAGTGCAGTAAGAGAACATAGAATAGTGCAATGACAGTTTGGACGACCATGGACGACAATATTGGACTGCATGATTTTAAATAAGTGGTTTTTAATGTTTGATATGCGTTCAATGATTGTTTTAATACATATGTTTATTTTATTGATGTATGGCATTGAATCGCTGCCTATATATGTGATCCACCCTGAGTCCCCTTGAAAGTGAGAAAGTTGCGGTATAAATATGGTAAATTAATAAATAAACAGTATGATGTTCTTGGCTTTTCCTGAGCGATTTCAGATCAAAGAAAGACTTATACCACCAGGAAGTGATCTGACAGTCAACTTTGAGTTCCGGCAGTATAAAAAGTTTCTTGTAGCCCTTAAACAGTCCAGATGAGTGAAATTGAAGTGAAATTATTCCTAATACCCCCATGATCACTTGGGGCGTATTTTTTAAAAAATAAAAGATTGGGTTCCAGGGGATCAGGTTTAGGCCATATTAGGCTGGAAGCCTCATTTTCCCTACCCCAGGTATACAGTCTAGGCAGATGACTTATTTGTGGGTTAAATGCCTTGTTAAATGCTTCTAATCAAAGTGCTCCACACATTGTCTTCTCGGTGGAGAAACATGGACAGGAAATTGGCCAGAGTGCTCTCATCTTGGGAATACAAGAATTGGGAAAGAGTCTTATTCCAGTCACTGGGCTTCGCTCATGTCTTATTCCTCCGAATTGCCTCTTGGGGACAGAGATGCCCTTGGAGTGAAGAGATACTGGCTGGCGTACTGAAGACCAGCAGCCAGTTTAATCTTCTGTCTGTTCCATGGACTGAGATTAAGATGAGATTTCTAGTGGAGAGGAGAGGGGGTGCATAATCTGTATAATGCTTTTTTTCGGTTTACGATCTGCTTAGGCTAGTCTGCTTTCTTTTTGTCACACGTCTATTGACAAGACTTTCCACAGAACTTGAAAAATTAGGGCAAATTATAGAGACATATTGAAATAACTTGTAATTGAGTAATGGTAGGAAGGTGCTCAAAGACCTTACCAATGCTTATTTAAAGTTAGCCTCAGCATGTCACTTTAGCCCAGTGGTTTTCCGTGGGTCCCCAGATGTTGTGGCTACTTCTCCCAGAAATCCCAGCCAGTTTACCAGATGTTAGGACTTCTGGGAGTTGAAAACACAGGTTGAGAACCACTGCTATAGCCCTTAGCTTCGTAAATTGTGGGTCTTGATCCCAAATGGGATATCTTAGCTCAATGTTGGGGTCACAAAAAACTTTGCAACAGAAAAAGGCTTCTGAATGCCACCCATTTATGCAAATTTGTTGGCAACAATATGCAGTGTTGACAGTGGACACTACAGAAAATGCTTCAGTTGGACTCCACAAAAAAGCCTGTTTAGCAAGCCTTGCAAATGTTGATTTATTATCAGTGAATATCTGATTTTATACCTATTTTATATTTCTATATACTCAGGTTCACATCAAAATGTCTTGGATGGAAAGGAGACACAACCCCCCCACCCTCAGATGGAAAGGGGTTGCAAGTGGGAAAAGTTAAGGGTTTAGGAACCTCTGCTATGACCTACTTATAAAAATACCTTTCCAGGCCCTGCCTGAGGTTTGCTATGCTGCGGACCCTCTTACCCAGAGATCTCAAACTGTGACCTTCCAACTCCAAGAAGCCCTAGCCAGTTTGGGTTGTTGTGAGTTTTCCGGGCTGTATTATTATTATTATTATTATTATTATTATTATTATTACAATACATACATACACTTCTACCCCGCCCTTCTCCTCACAAGGGGGACTCAGGGCGGCCTCACATAAGCGTCAAATGATGCTATCAACATATACACACAAGAATTACAATTAAAACAGTAAAAATCATTTAAAAACATTATACAAATTCATCAAATAAATCATTTAACAATAAATTAACGTGCCTATAAAACCAAAACCAAGCCAGGAAAATCCAATGTTGCAATGTCCAAAGTTTCCTTTCCAATTGCTGCTGTCCTCTACTCGAATGCCTAGTCCCAAAGCCAGGTCTTCAGTTGTCTTCTAATGGACATGTTCTAGAAGCATTCTCTCCTGATGTTTCACCTGCATCTATGGCAGGCATTCTCAAAGGTTGAGAGGTGTGTTGGAAACTAGGAAAATGTGGTTTATATATCTGTGGAATGTCCAGGGTGGGAGAAAGAACTCTTGTCTGTTTGAGGCAAGTGTGAATGTAGCAATTGGCCACGTTGGTTAGTAGTAAAAGGCCTTGCAGTTTCAAGGTCTAGATTCTTACTGCCTGGGAGAATCCTTTGTTGGGAGGTGATTAGCTGGCCCTGATAGTTTCTTGTCTAGAATTCTCCTGTTTTTGAGTGTTGTTCTTTATTTACTGTTATGATTTAAATTTTTTTTAAATACTGATATCCAGATTTTGTTCATGTTCATGGTTTCTTCCTTTCTGTTGAAATTGTCCACATGTTTGTGTATTTCAATGGCTTCTCTGTGTAGTCTGACATGGTGGTTGTGAGAGTGGTCCAGCATTTCTGTGCTCTCAAATAATATGCTGTGTCCAGGTTGGCTCATCAGGTGCTCTGCTATGGCTGACTTCTCTGGTTTAAGTAGTCTGTAGTGCCTTTCATGTTCCTTGATTCATGTTTGGGTGCTGCATTTTGTACTCATTCCACAGATATATAAACCCCAGTTTCACATTTTCCAACACTTCTCACAACCTCTGAGGATGCCTGCCATAGATGCAGGTAAAACTTCAGGAGAGAATGCTTCAGGAACATGGCCATACAGTCTGGAAAACTCACAGTTTGCGGATGCCTGCTCTTCCCTTTATGCTGGGCTCTTTCTTGATCCTTGAATGCTTGCCAGTTGATGCTGCCAAATCAGCTTCTCCTTCTGTGTGGGCTTCCTTTTCCAGGGAAGTGGGAGACTTCAGTATCTTCAGTGCCAGGTGAAAACTCCTTTCAGCAGGGAGGAAGATATTATCTCTTATTTCATCCCTGTGACTTGATTTTACTCCAAACCCATTTGTTCCAGAAACCTGGAGGAGAACTGCTGTGTGCGCCGTCTCTACATCGACTTCCGGCAAGACCTGGGCTGGAAGTGGGTCCATGAGCCTAAGGGCTACTTTGCAAACTTCTGCTCTGGACCTTGCCCGTACCTCCGCAGTGCAGACACAACTCACAGTACGGTAAGCTTTGCACATTAGTCAGCCAAGGAGCCTAGCATTTTGGAAATCGTCCCTTTATCAGCTTCCTCCTCTACCTGCCAGAGGAAGCTGCTCCTTAAATGTTCTTATTGTCCACAGGACTTGCAATTATATATAATTCTATACTAAAACATTTTTATCCTGCCCTTTTGTCATGGGATGTTAGAATGGTAAAGAGATAAAACAATATAAACAATTTTGACAATTCCAAATAAAAACCAATAAATAAGGTAAAAGTTTTCCCTTGACATTAAGTCTAGTTGAGTCCTACTCTGAGGGGTGGTGCTCATCTCCATTTCTAAGCCGAAGAGCCGGTGTTGTCCCTAGACACCTCCAAGGTTATGTGGCCAGCATGACTGCATGGCACACCATTACGTTCCCACAGAAGTGGTACCTATTGATCTTACATTTGCAACTTTTCGAACTGCTAGGTTGGCAGAAGCTGGGGCGCACAGTGGGAGCTCACGCCGCTCCCCGGATTCGAACCATCGACCTTTTGGTCAGCAAGTTCAGCAGCTCAGCTGTTTAACCCATTGTGCCACTGGGGAGTTAAAAAAATAATGTAAACAACATAAAAACATTCAGTAATTCAGACAAGTTTAACCAAGTGCAAACAGCTAAAAAGTGCTTGTTTCCTGGACAGGTGTCTCCCTGAACTCAGAGGGATTTGGTTTTGAATAAACAGTTTAGGATTGCACAATCACTTCTTAGTTCTTTTCAACATTATTTTTTGAAAACACACACAAAAACATGCAATGGTATTCATTGGCATATTTGTTTGGTCACTGAACAAATATATTCGCCTGACTGTATTTGGCAGAGTGGGTAAAGGTGATGGTCAGTGCCTCCCTTTGGGAAGGCAAGCTTCCAGCCAGCATGTTTTTAATGTTTATGCATGCTCATATTAATTCCTGGTCCAGCATTGAATGTTTGCCGTATATATGCTGTGCTCTGCCCTGAGTCCCCTTCGGGGTAAGAAGGGTGGAATATAAATGTTTAAAATAAATACATAAATAAATAAATGACATCCATGTCTTTAGTTCTTTATTAAATGTGGATAGGGAGGGTGCTAGCCTAATCTCCCTGAGGAGGGAGTTCCAGAGCGGGGGGCTCACAACCGAGAAGGCCCTTTCTCTTGTCCCCATCAACCGTGCCTGAGACGGGGGTGGAAATGAGAGAAGACCCTACATTTTCCTTTCCCCATTGAGGAGTATCCCCTTTCAAGAAATGCAGCATTCCCTGGAAGGAAATACAGCTTTAAAGTCAGAATGATTCAGATCTAGCTCTGAGGAGGAGGAGGCAGAAGGACCATTATTAGAACCTCCCTGGACTGTTGTCCTCTGGCATCGTTTCATTCTCTCTTTCTCACAATCAATGCAATTGAGCAAAGAGAAAATTTGTAGAGGATTCAAACAATTGGGAGGAGAATGTAGATATCTGAGAGGAATTGGATTAAATCCAGCATGATTAGGAGATGCTGGCCAAAGAAAGAATAATTTTTTTCAGTTGTTTTTCTTGAAGCTCAAATGGGGCCATGGAATGGTTACACCCAATGTTATTGTGTGTGTTTAAAAAGAGCACAATATACAAGAGATTTGCATGTAGCAATGCAAAACTGAGATTTGGCTGCTTTGAGATTTACTCTTTTGGGCTGGACCCTTCTCAGCTGCTCCAAATTAATAACCACATTTTAAACAACTTGTTAAAATATCTTGGACTGCAGTTAAAGGATTGATGGGTGTATCAAGTTACATAGAATTAGGCAGGACCTGAAGAAAGTACTTTATTTGATTACATTTCTCTGAATCCCACATACTGTCTGAGCATTTCTGGAAACTGCAGTCCATCAATTGGTTTTCCATGCTCCAGTTTGGGATCACTTATAGGTGCCTCTTTTGTGCTGAACAGCAATCCAGTTTGGCCATAAAGACACCCCTGACTTCTTTTTCTTTGTTGTTATTGGTCGGTGGTTTTCCAGGTGCTTGGCCTCTACAACACGCTGAACCCGGAAGCATCTGCTTCTCCTTGCTGTGTGCCTCAGGATCTGGAGCCCCTCACCATCCTGTACTATGTTGGAAGGACCCCTAAAGTGGAGCAGCTCTCCAATATGGTGGTGAAATCCTGCAAATGCAGCTGAAAGGGACCCGGCACCACCTGCAGCTGGGAAATTGCAGTGACCCAACCTCTGCTGCCAAAAAGGGTAACACAACAAAACAGAACATAGACAAGAACTGCTTGGAGAAGGAGCAGTATCATCCAGTCTGTTCACACTGTGAGCCAGGAGAATCTACCTACTCTGGATTCTTACACCTGAAAAGCAGGATATCCCTATGTCTTCCTGGCTTTCTCTGGGAGATCTTTTTGCAGTTTGGAGGCTTTGGGAGGCGAAGATGCATAACTGGCTAGACATTTACTGGACAAGGGCAACCAAATGAGGAGAATCCCACTTAAGGAGATAACCATTAGCAGAACTGTGGACAGATAAAAGGAGACATGAAGAAACATGTGTTCTTAGAAAGCTGACTATCATGGAAGTAATAGTTCTGCAGAGAGAGAGGATGCTGGATGAATCTATGGTCCAGACTGCTCAAAAGGGACCATTGAGAGAGTACCTGTTGCCACGATTCCAACAAAGGTGAATTCTTCCACAGCTTCTCCCTCCACCCTGAAGGATATCAGTCTTTTGGGTCTGAGGAGGCACTTTGGCCATTTTTTTTTGCCTCAACCTAGTCTTCTTGGGTGGTGATCTTCGGAGGAGCCTGTATTTGTTGTGCAGGTTGAGGTATCTGCACATCTGTTGCACAAGGACCTCGCCCAGGCCACACCTGTCCAAGGTTTTATTAAAAAAAAGCATTAATCTCAAATATTATAAAAATAAATATTTTTTGGAAATTGGATTTTTCTGTTCCAAACCTTGTTTGAGTAAGGGAGAACTGGAGGTATCCACCATGGATAAATCTAAGGGAATCTTATAAAAGGTGGCTACTGTGGAAGGATCTGCTCTTTAGGGGCTGTTCAGTACTGATTGGTGCATATCCAGGTGAAAAAGGTATGAGGGATTAGTTCTCACACTTGACATTGCTGGAATATAATGTTATCAAAATCATAACAACTGAATTTGTTTCAGGTACATTGTAATATACCAGAATGGTGGTGGATGTTCAACTGAAGTGATCTTTGGATAGTGGTTCTCAACCTGTGGGTCCTGAGGTATTTTGGCCTACAACTCCCAGAAATCCCAGCCAGTTTACCAGCTGTTAGGATTTCTGACAGTTGAAGGCCAAAACATCTGGGGACCCATAGGTTGAGAACCCCATAGGTCTTGGGGTTTGCACTGTCTCAAGCAGCATATTTTGAACGTCAAATTGGTCGTTCTTACTGGCAAGGGATGGGCAGAAGTGACTGTGTGACTTCTAGCCTCATGTGTCAATATAATTTCTGAGGTTCTGGGTACTATGCACTTTGCTTTTGGGTGGGCTGGGTTCTCCCCACTGTCTACTCTGCCTTAAGTAGCAAAGTACCTTGGATGGTCCCAAATTGCCTTATACTAAAAACCAACCCACTGGCCTGTCTAATTCAGTGCCTTTTCCATACAGGCTGGTAGCAGATTCTTATGGCCTGTGCCAAAGTCTCTGACATCTGTGCTACCCATGGCAAGGCTTCAATCTAAGATCCTTTTCATGTGTTTTCATCACTAACTTGGAGCAGATCCAGAGAAGAGTGCTGCCAGCTTAACTGTTATCATCCAGCCTATTGGCATTCTGCACTTTTCCTTATTTTGTAGCATCGCAGACTTCGGGAAGGCTCAGTAATTAGAAAGATTTACCTGTTTACCTCCACTCAGAATTACTTCTTGGCATGCTGGGATTTTTATATAATAAAAAAGAAGATGCAACATGGCTCATAGAAAAAAGAAAGTCTCCAAGTGGTTTCCCCAGTCTAGGCAGTTCTGAGAAGATAAATATGACTTGGGTGGGGTATCCCTTGGAAGACAGACCACGATTTCTTCTTCCATCACGTTACATTGTGCTCCACTCTTCCTGATTTCTTGGTCATTCTCTCTCTGTGGGGACTTACTTCCCTGCATGCATGTTTCCTCAGTTTACTATGGTGATTCTCAGCTAGCTTTCTGCCTTCTTTGCACTCCTATATTTCTCTTCACCTTCCTGTCAACACCATGTACTCACTTTCTTTTTAAATCTGGAGATATTTTCTCATAGGTATCCCATTTCATTAGCCTTTTCTATTCTTTTCTATACTCTTTGGCCTCTCAAGTCTTCTTCAGCCAACATTACATTCAGCTATCCAAGCTCCTGGTTTCTGTTTCCTAATACACTGCCTGTACTTCTTGGACTCCTCCATTCATGCAGTAGTAAATGTGTGAAGAATGATTTTAAAAGAGAATTGAAGACAAATGGAGACACTCTGGATTGGGAATGAAGACGGTGGGGTCGGGATAGGGCAGCTATGGGCAAATCCATGCCTATGGATTCTTCCCCTTGTAAATAGTAGCGGAACCCATGATCTGGTTCAGGATCCTAGGAAGTCTGACTGGCAGAGCTGTCTAAATCTTCCCCATTTCTTGCTCCTGGTCCAGGCTGCGCCTGTGCACTTAACATTTAGTTTTAAAAACAATTATTCACACAATAGCTGATTGCGGGATTGGCATCCCGTCCAGTCTGGCACTTAGCCAGGGTAAATCCTGATGTAATGTCTTTCTTGCAGAGACTGCCTCCCATGAACGTATATAAGTGAGGAATGTTTGATCAAAATGCAAACATTCATGTGAGTCTGAAGGCAAAGAAATGCCTTCATGGATATTTCTTAGTGGACCCACCACCATTTCCTGACTGGCAGACCTCACATTTTCCCATATGTATCAGGGTGCTTACCCCTTAATGGAATATCCTAATGAGGTTTTAAAAGCAGTCAGAGTACTCTTTCAGCCTTTTTCTGCACAACATAGATGGGGACGAGGAATGGGTGAGACGCTTGCTTTTGTTTTTCTTTTTTTAATCACAATTTACCAAAGCTTAAACGTGGAACAAAGTGCCATGGACAGAGTTGCACTTCATTGGGAATGAATGAGAATTTTGCATTCAAATATGAGGATGTGGTACTTTTTCCTCTCCATGCTGGCCTCGCTTTTGCAAACTGTTGGATTCTTCTAATTCCTTTTGACTCTTTTTTTCTCCCCTGCAAGGTTGTTCTCTGAATCAGGTACTTGTGCCTCAAGGGGATGCCTATATGGATACGTGAATGTGCTGTTTTATGGGTTATTGTGTTAAGTGTGACTAGATATGGCACAATTAAGCCACACATTAATCCCCGAACTACCATATTTAATGATTCACAGATTCCCCAAAATCCTAGCCAGTTCTTTCATCTGACTGTGCTGTTTTTATTACAGTCAGGAATCAGGGGCAAAAGACTCCTACAAAGGTGGAAAAATCTGCAAATATCTTTGGGGTGGCAAAAAGCTAGGCACGAGAGATAGGGTGCTGCTGCTACCATTGTGATCCCCAGGAGCTCTTTCTCTGTGCACCTTCTTTCTCCCACAAACAGGGCATGTGGAGGTTCTTGGTAGCACGAAGAGGAAGTCTGAGGGTGGTGGGAAGGTCATAAAAGACGTGCGGTGGGCAAGGCATTGAAGGACCAAGATGGAGGCAACAGCTAGCAAATGGAGGGAAGAGGCTCCATGCCTTGCGTGCCCCACCTCTTTGGCCCAATTGCCTTCCCAGACTTTACCCTTTCGTTGTGCCCAACACCTCTACATGCATTTCACTTGTGAGTGGCGAGGATGGACAGCTGGAGAAAGAGGCAGTGAAGGCAAGGAAAGCCTCCAAGGGACCATGGTGGTAGGAGCAGCCAGCAGAGAAGAGATGGAAGAGGCTCCATTTCCCACGTGCCTCTCATGACTTCCCTGCTGATTGCCCTAGACATGCAGCTTTGGGGGGTAGTTGGCATGTGCAATCACTGTGCTCTGCCTACCACAAGCCCAAAGCTGCTGTGTGTACATTTATACAATCCCCAAAATATCAAATTTACAGATGTCAAACCCTGGAATGTCAAGGGCAGACTGTACAGATTTCTGTATCTCTAGGCCATCTTCACCACCAGTCCATACTTCAGGAAATAAAGCCCGACTACTCATTGGAGGGAAGGACATTAGAGGCAAAGATGAAGTACTTTGGCCACATCACGAGAAGACAGGAAAACTTAGATAAGACAATGATGCTGGGGAAAATGGAAGGAAAAAGGAAAAGGGGCTGACCAAGGGAAAGATTGATTGATGGTATCCTTGAAGGGACTGGCTTGACTCTGAAGGAGCTGGGAATGGTGATGGCCAACAAGGAGCTCTGGCGTGGGATGGTCCATGAGGTCACGAAGAGGTGGAAACGACTGAACAAATAAACAACAAAACAGGCCATCTTTCCCTATCCTTCCCCCTTCCTTTTGCAACCTTTACTATCTGCCTTCTGTCAGAGATAAGCCTCAGTTTGTGTCATTTCTCCCCCATAGCATTCCCTGGGCTGTGACTGGCTGGCACCAACAAGGTTTGCCCAGCTCCTCTCCTCATAGGAAAGAAGCAAAACACTGGTTTGGCCACCCTTAGTGAGGACAGTTTGAACTCTGCCATTGCATTTGCTTCTTTAAAAGGACCAAATGTGTCCTGCTACTAAGTTGTTAGAGAACGTTGCTGTTTATTCTTCTGCAAACTGTTCAGTTCCATAATTTCTAACATTTTTATCAGTCATGAAAAACTCCAGATACAGCAACCGAGCTGGTGTCAATCCATCATACAGGCTCTTTTGGCTCTGAGCCTGTGACAGGGAAACTTATACTTTGATAAGATAGTGCTTCCCACTCATTGCTTAACTTTCAGCCTCTTAATTATTCCTTCAGGTCTCCATGACCTGCAATACTTTTCTGTTGAAACAAGTAATTCTCTCCAGTTGGAGCTTTATTATTCTTGGGGAGGGAGTCTATTCCCTCCAATAATAGGCCATGCTTTTGGAATGATTTTTAGTACTATTGCAATACCTGAGGCCATCTCCCTGAGTTTTACAGTTCCACTTTTCATTCTCTATTTACTGAATTTATACCACACCTTTCCGAAACCTTCTGAAAACAAATGCAGCTGAATATGGAGTATATTTATCATCCTAACTTCAGGGAGATAACAAATTAACTGACAGGGTAGAGAAGAGGGCAGTTTACTCACCTGATACTTTTGCAAGTCAGTTTGATTTCTTGATGCTGTTGCATTTTCACTGCATGACTAAAACACTTTCCATGTTTTCTCTGTTACCTTTTAAACCTTAGTCTCTCAAAAATCAAATTGCAATTCCAGTGCTGCTCAGCCTTTTTGCAAGACAATCAACAACGTTCCAGGGCCTTAGACCGAATGTACAACCACCCTTTGTAATAAAGACAAGGCCAGGAGAGCAATCATCGTGCTTTTGCCACATCTCCTTCTGCTAGAGAGGGAACAGGGCCAACTTGCTGACTGACTCCTCCTGAGGAGGGATCCCCCTTTGCCCAGGCTTGACTAGATAAGCCTCAAGAATTCCGCAGAAGAGTGATGACGGTGATGAACAGTAGGACAAACTCCAGGAACGAAACAACATAAAACAATACCCATCAACTGAGATGTGTACAACAGAAATTACAACAGGATAGGTAAGAGATTTTATCCCAGGAATTCATATGCATTCAGCTTTATCTAAGCTAAAAAATCCCAAATGGTCTGATCTTTCATCATAGGGCAGTTAGTCTATCCTCTCAATCATTTTCTGGACTTATTTCACTCTCTCTATACTTTTCGGGTGTCTTATCCAGTAATAGTTTTGTCTATGCAAAGGTTAACATTTCCAGCTTTTCCAATTATAAAAAGGTAAAGGTTTCCCCTTGACATTACGTCTAGTCATGTCCGACGGAGGGATGGTGCTCATCTCCATTTCTAAACTAAAGAGCTGGTATTGTCCATAGACATCTCCAAGGTAATGTGGCCGGCATGACTGCATAGAGTGCTGTTACCTTCCCACAGGTGCAGTACCCAATGATCTCCTCACATTTGCATGTTTTCAAACTGCTAGGTTGGTATAAGCAGGGGCTAACAGCAGAAGCTCACCCCGCTCCCTGGACTTGAACTGCCAGCAAGTTCAGCAACTCAGCAGTTTAACCCGTAGCACCACCAGGGGGTCCTTTCCAATTATATTCAGAATTAAATTTGTTTTTTTTTAAAGAAACAGTACATTGTTGACATTTTCATCAAGCCATCCAATCAGTTGAGATCCGATCAATGTATATATGAAGTCCAGATTTATTTTGTCCCGCTGAACATTCCTACTTGCTTAAATTGAATCTCATTTATCATTATTTACCAATATTTATAATTTAATTTTATAATGTAATGTTTTAACTAATGGTTAACTCGTAATTGTATTGCTTTTGTTTGTTTTGTTGTTGGCATCTAACGACTTCTGGTTTTGAGCCGCCCTGAGTCCCGTCCCCCGCTTTCCTGGGGTTGAGAAAGACTGGATATAAATATTTGAAATAAATAAATAAATAAATAAATAAATTCCAGTATCTTTCTCCATTTAAAGACACCCTTTAAGATGCTCCTTAAGATGAATATTGGATCCTTTGAAAGGCGGCTGGTCTGGGAGACAGGAACACACAGTTACAAATTCAGGGAAGTTATAAAGGGAAAGTCTTGGTGCTTCCAGGCAAGAATTTTTACTCACCATTACACTACCTCCACTTCAAGGATATCTTTGCGAAATACACACAACACTCTTCAGTATGCAGCCGCATCATGTTGTCTTTTATTTTCTACCGTCTTTCCCTTTTCCAGAAAAAAAATGAAATAAGGGCATAACTCCTTTTAAATGTGAGCTTTCTGGGAGCAGTCTAACATGAGATTGCTGCCTAAACACTCCAGAAGGCATCATCCTGAGGTAGGAGAACGCTTTCTCTGATATTTAGGAAAACAGGAACCAATTCCTGTTCAGGAGAAAATGTGTTTTTTGTTTGCGTATCTCACACGCCTCTCTCCTTAGACTTCACTTACCTCCCAGGACAAATGAGTGAAAAGCATTTAGAATACTAAACGGTGCTACAGAAATGTTCAATAATGAAGTTAACTGTGTCTTTGCTCACATTGCTAATCTGAAGTGATGGAATCTTATTACTGGAATCTTGGAAACTCGGCTCCTTTAGAACGGCAACTTATTAAATGTAAACAAACGTGAGGAAAAACCAAAGTAACACATGAAAAAGAGAGCCTTCCCCTGGAATAAAATGTCAACTGACTGGAAGAACGTTACTCAGGATAATAAATGTAAATTATAAGCTAAACAAACAAAACAAATGACTTTATTCAGACTGAGCGTTTCTATGGCTTCCTGCCAAATTTCAAGATATCAGCCAGTACAAATGTCTATAGTCAGTCTTTCAACCTCTCACATCAGCTGTGGTCATATAGTATGAACTTTGCTCAGGATCTGGCACTGAAGCGTGATTGTTTACATGAACTGAAATGACTGAGCAGATGGGGAAAAAAACATGGACCTTGAGAGACATAATGCAGACAACAATTGAGAACTTTGGTTTTAGGCAAGTCGTAACCACAGTCCGATGACTATCAGATGGAAGATGAATGAAAAGGAAGCCCTGAGGCTTGAGCAGCAAAAGCTCAGAGCAAGTAGAAAGCCTCAATCAAATCTGGACTCCAAGACCTCTTCTACATTCAGTTTCCCTTTCTTTGAGAAAAATGCTGGAGTGTGCAACAGATCTTGCTGTTAATCTGGGTGTTACCAGGAGTGTAGAATGATGAACACTCATTCCTGCTTCATCTCCTCCTTGCATGTTGAAGCACTGGACTATTTGTTCACTCATCATTTCGCCTTAATCCATCATTCCAAAAGATAAATTGAAGCTGGAGCTGAAAAAAAGACACAAAGAAGCATGGTAAATGGTTTCAGAGAAGTGCCCTCAGGATACAGCACTTTCCCCCACAGAAACTGTAAAACAAATGTGAATGACCTTAGACAGCTTCAACTGTGGATGGAAGACAAACTATTGGAGAGTCTCAGATTCCTGTGGTCTACCTACACCCTGTTCATCTATACAACAAGGACCAGAGTATGCACAATCCCATGGCTGCAGTGAAGAGACATATTTTAGGGAAATGGGAAACAACTGGGTTGTTTTCCAGGATGTATGGCCATGTTCCAGAAACATTTTCTTCTGACGTTTCTATGGCAGGAAACCTCTAAGGATGCCTGCCATAGATGTAGGTGAAACGTCAGGAGAGACTGTTTCCGGAACATGGCCACACAGCCCAGAAAAGTCACAGTAACCCAGTGATTTTGGCCATGAAAGGCTTTGAAAACACAACGGGCAACAACTGTTCCTGAAGATGCTCTCAATGCTCCTAACTAGACACCATAGTGACCAACAGATAGTGCAGGAATTGGATGTCTGGACACAAACTAGAGGATGAAGACATTAAATATTAAAACCAGACATTCCTTTCAATACTCTGACTGTGGCTATAACTGCTCTTCAATCTACTCTCCATCATGGCACTAAGCAACTACACTATTAGGAATAGTCCACACCTCTTGGGTGCAAATACACTGTAGAATTAATGCAGTTTGACACTACTTTAACTGCCATGGTTCAGTGACATGGGATCCTGGGATCTGTAGTTTGGTGAGGCACCAGCATTCTTTGGCAGAGACAGCTTGTAAAACCACAACCTTGTGAAACCATAATTCCCATGTAAAACCACAACCAATCTTATCTCCCTGCTTCTGCCACCTACTAATATTTCAATTATATAAGCCATCTGTTGGAAACATTATGATGTATAAAAACATCATAATGTTTCCAACAGAGTTGGACACTAGCAGAGTTATCATTTATGGTCCCTATGAATGTCAAATTCACTGCCGAAAGAGACCTACCTTCAACTTTCCCTGCAAAATTTAAGAAAATATAATGATAATGAAACATTTCTAAAAGGTAAAGGTTTCCCCTTGACTTTAAATCTAGTCATGTCCAACTCTGGGGAGTGATGTTCATCTCAATTTCTAAGCCGAAGAGCCGGTGTTGTCCATAGACACTTCCAAGGTCATGAGGCCAGCATGACTGCATGGAGCGCCATTACCTTCCTGCAGAAGCAGTACCTATTGATCTAATCACACTTGCATGTTTTTGAACTGCTAGGTTGTCAGAAGCTGAGCCTAACAGCGGGAGCTCACCCCACTCCCTGGATCTGAATCACCAACATTTTGGTCAGCAAGTTCAGCAGCTCAGCACTCTGCCACCATTTCTATTTCCCCTTAATAGATTTAGGTATGCTTTAAATTTCTCAAAAACACACATTTTAAGAATGTTTCTAAAAATACTCTACATTGAAAGAATCCGATTTATATTATTAGTCTTTCTGATTGCAGCCTATGATTTGTGTGTGGGGGAGTGGGGTTTTTTTTTTTTGTTTCAATACACGAAAGCATTGGCCATATAACTATGGAAATAGTAAAAATGAGCCTAATTTCTTAAGAAGTTATGTTGTATTATTGCAATTATATTAGTTGCATGGAAGTTCACATATATAATGTGTATTAAAGAAAGAAAGTTAAGAAAGCGAAAGCCAAGAGACATAATCTCATCTACCCTGTAGGATGTATTTATCACTATTTACAATTTATAAATGAGAAATAAAAGCAGAGTGAAATACTAGCGAATTTCCAAGACCTTTGAATCACAGTTTCAATGTAAAACTGCAGTTTTTCACACTTTCCCATGTGTCACTACTGTACTGTATTGATGTCATTTCATAATGAATACAACAGAAATAGGAAACTAGAACAATGCATATATTTTTGCATCATTCATGGGCTGGATGGAACACACTAGAACACTTGGTATCTTTCTGCTTCCTGAGAAAACTAGTCTTGATAAGAAGACCTACTAAAATGGTAAAAGGTCGGCCTTTGAAGACTATGCCCTTAAAGTCCTGCCCTTTATACAGTCTTTCCATAAAAGATCTATAGAGAACCTATGATGCTCAGCTTCCAGTTCTCATCTGCCCCTTCCAGTCTGGGTAATGAGAATTGCAGTTCAACACATGGCGAGTCACAGTTCCCAATCCATCACTGTTTGCAAGATTCAACTAAATGACTGTGTGTTGCTGGACAACAAACTTTCAGCTAAGATCCTGATTACACATTACATGAATTGTGAAAAGTATAATTTATTCTACAAGGGTTGAAACTGAAAATTGGTATGATATAGTAATTACATGTATTTATTAATGTAGTGGTGATGATGATGACAGGTTTTTTTCAATTAATCTGTGATGTAAATTTGTATTTTCATATGCACTTTGTAAAGATCCCTTACCTTGCCAGCCAGGGTGGCAGGGCCTAGGAAGAGACAGGCTAGGTAGTTTTCAGCTTAGAAGGCCTGGCAGAGAGCTGCTGGAGCCATCTTAGTTTAGGGAAAAGCTCCAGTTCAGAGAGGGGGAGTGGCCGAGGCCTGTGCCAGCCCAGCAACAGCCAGGATTGGTTTGGAGAAGAGGGGCGGAGTTAGCCAGATGGAGGGAAAGAGAACAGATAGTTTTGACAGTTGAGTTTTAGTACAGCTGAGTTCTGAGAAGAGTAAAGAGCAGTTTTAGTTCTGAGAGAGATTAGAGTAGGAGTTGGATTGTTTAGGAGTCTCTGTTGAGAATAGGCAGCTTGCCTGAAGTTTGCAYAGCACAGTAGGCTGTGGCAGACTGAGTTACAGCTATTTTAAGAAAGAAAATAGCTGGGTTTTATGTTTAAGAAGTTGTAACAAAGGAAGGAACCATTCTCTCAAGTAACCATTACGCTTATAAGTACCAAGAACACTTTTTATTGTAACCATCAAGCCTCAGAACCTGCATTCACGTGTTATTCTGTAATCTTTAATCAATAAACTCTTTCTTGTTTTTTTTTAAAAGTCAARCCTGAGTCAAGTGCTATTTTTGGTTTTGAGTCCCTTTCCTTATTGAATCAACCTCTCCTGTTTCCCCTCAAAGAAAGCCCTTGACAACACACAGTATTTGGTGGAGTAAAAAAGCCTTTTAGTAATTTAAACAGCCTTTTTAGCATTTTTAACTAGCTAGAGGGTTCGTGATTTCTTTAGTTTTGGTGGCAGCGAAGGTTTTACAGAACGAGACATCCCCTCAAACACTAGAATAGCCAAAGTGGTGTGGATTCCTTATTGAAGGAGGGACAGTGGTGGGATTGTTTGTCCCCCCTGTCCAGACGCTCCTCTGAGTTATTATACACTTCATCCCAGTATATGGGCTGTGAAGTGCAGCAAGTAATTATTTTCACAGCTGAGCCAACATATCACATTTGGTTTCAAGCGTAAGTCACATTCTGCACCTGGCTCCAACTGATGGATACGAGATGGAAATTCCTGACCTCCTCCTCTACAATATATTCTCCAGTTCTGCCTGGAGAAAGCCCAACCGCAGCCGAGGAGGCAGAAAAACTCAATATTGGAAGACACCTTCCAAGAGCAAAGGCCATAAGACTTGCATACTGATTCTTTCTGCTAGTACTGAGTACTGGATAATTAAACTGACACATTAAGGAATTAACCATAAGAATTCTGGACTCTTACTTTGTCGGCTTGGCCCTCCTCCACAATATTCCCAACTCCCTCACGTGTTCTCATCTTCTTTGTGATGACGGAGCTAGCAAAGGGTTGTGAGGCAAACTCTGCACCCAAAACCTTCAACTACGGACACTGTCCCTCCGCCACAAACAGGGGCTTTTGCTCACTCATCTACGGCAATATATTTTGCTCCATCTGCAGGTTCGTTGCTGTCCGATGCCAAATCATGGGTGATATGGAAGACAGAGAAGCTTGGGATTGCAGGAGATACAGTTTGAATAACGAGATGAAGAAAGTAGACTTATCAATACTTCTATTCCTTTTTTTCTGCTCTGAAATTTTCATGATTCAACATCAATATTACAATCAAGGTTCTAGCACTATGAGAAAGAGAAGTTTTTCTCCCTATCAACCTTCTACATATCATGTATCTATATAAATAAAAATGTAAATGTAAGTTTGTGCATGACCTCAAATCTTCCAAAATACTTCACCAATTGCTTCGAAATTTGGACACAACGTAGCATTTGAATAGGAGAATGTTTTTAATGTACTTATATACCTTCTAATGTATAGATGTGACTACTGTGATGGGTAAAAACATGCATGGCATAAAAACAGCGCCATCTGCTGGATGTCCAAGCAGCACATCACAATGAAACCCCATCAGGGCCGGAGCTGCCATTAGGGATCCACGGCCTGGTTGCCCCCCACCGAGCCCGACTGCCTGCCTCCCTCCAGAGCAGAACCGGGAAAAGGAGAGTGGGAAAAGGTAGGGAAATGAAGGCAGGGGAGAGGGGTGGGGCATGGGCCCAGGGGTGGGAGGGAAGGAGGCAGGCCCAGCACAAGCCCTGGGCTCCTATAGCCTCACACCCTGCCTGGCCTTGTAACCGCCTCATGCCTGTGCCTCCAGGAAGACTGGAGGCTCAGAAGGAAGGAAGGACTGAATGGTAGGAAGGGATAGATAGATAGGAGGGAAGGAAAGGATTTCCCCAAAATACACTGATCATTATTATATAGACCAGTATCATGGTTATTATGATCATGATTATATACACCAGTATTATTATATAGATTATATAGATTATATAGGCCAGTATTATTATTTATACATTATTATTATTATTATTTCACAGACATATATTAGAAACCAGCTCTTTCTTTTTTCTTTCTTTTCCATATAACCAGACTGTGCCACAGCAACCCCTGGCCGGGGACAGCTAGCATGTTTACATATCTTTATCATACATCTCTATACACCCTTATCTGCCTTTTCTCTACAGAGAG